ACTAGAGGAGCTTCCGCGATTCTAAGACACTGAACGTCCATAGGAAAGCATTGAGTAATGCTTTCCTATGGGCGGTTTGAATGCACGCGCGGCTCTTGTCGTGCATGCGCATTCGGAGCTGAGAGGCAGAGGGATGTCCAACGCCAAGGGAGTCCGGCGCTGGAGAAAGGTAAGTGCTGAAGACACACACTCTCACGAACAGATGCATACACACTGGCGAACAGACACACACATTTACTGACAGAGACACACTCAGCGACAGACACACATACACACTCACTTACAAAACATACACTCTCACTGACAAACACACACTCATTAATAGACATCAAACAGACTCACAGACACACACACTTACACTAACACACACACTAACACACACATACTAACACTAACACACACACAAACAGTCACACACTAACACTCACACACTAACACACACACTAACACACACTAACACACACACAAACAGTCACACACTAACACTCACACACTAACACACACACTAACACACACTAACACTAACACACACACACTTAGGGATGCTGGCGCCGGAAGATTACGTCATCTTCCAGCTCTGGCATCAGTGCAATAAAAAAGGTATTACAAGATCATCACTGGACTAATACGGCTATAATCTCTACTTGTATACTATCAGAAGTATTTTTGCTTATGTGAAGCAATGACTATGTAATATTTATCAAAATCTATTGTCGTGTATTTGCAAAGGATAGGAGTTTAATGTCAGCCTCTTACCTCCCAATGTGCTCATCCTTTTTTCCTTCTGTGGTTAAAGTTTGTTACAAAAAATTATAAATACTCTAAAATATTTATGTTCTATTGAAAGTGTGGTTTAGAGGATTAATGAGATTGTGATGTGTTAGGTCTAGATTCATTAAAAACAATGTTTCCATAAATAATAGTTTTGTAAAGGTCAGGAGTTTACATTTACCTTTTAAACTCTCTATAAATTAATATTTTTTTCTTCTGCTACAGTGTATAGTTGTTCTCTTTTATTTTTGCTCTTTTTAATTAATCCATTAACTATGATTTATATGTAGGATATGAGGCATTGCACAAAGTATGGCATTTTTCACATTCCTGAAGACTTTCTTCTGGAGCGAAGTTAATTTTTTTTTCCGCTCATCTGGTTGCTGATTAAATTAGTTTTCTTAAAGCTTTTTTAGAGTTTCCTTGCTAGCAGTATTCTAGATAAACCTTTTTCTGCCAAGTCATAGAATTCCAACTATTTTTTGTTATTAAAAACAAGAATTCCATGGTTGTCAAGTTTCTTAAACATCAGCAAGCCATATTTAGGATAAAGTTGGTTGGATTCTAAAAGCTGTAATATGCATTCCTCCTATTTCAAAACATGCAATTTAAAGAATAGATTACTTGTCATAAAATAAGAAGTTGGGTAATCTGCTGTTGCATTAACTTTTTAAGAGTAATAGATTGTAAAAAAAAGTAGTCTGTATTTCACCGAAAATATAACTCCAAATCTGAGACATTATTCGGTTTCAAAAGCATCTTGAGCCAAAAGGAAAACACGATGACCCCTAACAAACAGAAAGGTAGTGGTATTTCAGGACATATCCCTTTCTGTGTTGTGCCCTGTCATCTAAACCCATGAACAATGTGCTCTCCAAGATCTAAATGCAAGCATTGCCAGAAACAAGCCCGTTCTAAAAAGCCAAGCTATTCAGTGCAATCTTGCCATGCTAACTTATAGAGGGTTGTGCAGTAAACATCTATTCCCTATCAGCCTTCCATAACAATTACCTGGGTACATAACTCATGTCCCATAAGTAGCCTAGCAGTGCACTATACTCATAATCCTTCTTTTCATAATAGGCGGCTGCATTAAGAAGCAGCTGCCTGATTTCAAATGAAAAATAAAAATCTAATATCCACCCCTCTCTATGAATTTATAAGATCTGGGTCTAAAGAGCTTCACATATGGGGCTTCAGCCCTCAGCGCACTCCACTTGCAATGCCTATTCTCCAAATGTTATTACTATATGTTATATGTTAATAAAATAAAAAGTGCATGGTATACTTTTCCAGTAATAGTGAAATAAAGGACACATTTATGGCTGTTGTAGCATTACTCTGCTATTACCTCAATAATTCAACAAAGAAGCTTTCAAGTAATCAAACCCATTTATCCAAGTGCCAATGTTGTTGCATTGCACTTCTATCTTCATCTCATCACAAAGGAATCCACTTACTTTATGTTTACTAAACATTGCCAAACATTTAATACCTTGTGCAAAGATTACAGTGAACAAATATCTTGTGTCTTACTTTGAAATATAGCTAAGATTATTAGTGTTTCCAAAATCTTTACAAAAACTAATAAGATAACGAAAAATAGGATATTATGCCTTAAAACAAGTGATATAAAGTGGTAGGTTAACATTGAGTTGCTTAAATCTTTGATAAAAGTCAACAGACTGTTATTTATTTAGGGTCTTTGTTGCATGAACGTTGCATAGTCTTAAATAAATTTATTGTTAAAACCTAAACACATCAGCTGGGGCTTTGGCATCCAAAGACTATACAGGGAGTGCAGAATTATTAGGCAAGTTGTATTTTTGAGGATTAATTTTATTATTGAACAACAACCATGTTCTCAATGAACCCAAAAAACTCATTAATATCAAAGCTGAATATTTTTGGAAGTAGTTTTTAGTTTGTTTTTAGTTATAGCTATGTTAGGGGGATATCTGTGTGTGCAGGTGACTATTACTGTGCATAATTATTAGGCAACTTAACAAAAAACAAATATATACCCATTTCAATTATTTATTATTACCAGTGAAACCAATATAACATCTCAACATTCACAAATATACATTTCTGACATTCAAAAACAAAACAAAAACAAATCAGTGACCAATATAGCCACCTTTCTTTGCAAGGACACTCAAAAGCCTGCCATCCATGGATTCTGTCAGTGTTTTGATCTGTTCACCATCAACATTGCGTGCAGCAGCAACCACAGCCTCCCAGACACTGTTCAGAGAGGTGTACTGTTTTCCCTCCTTGTAAATCTCACATTTGATGATGGACCACAGGTTCTCAATGGGGTTCAGATCAGGTGAACAAGGAGGCCATGTCATTAGATTTTCTTCTTTTATACCCTTTCTTGCCAGCCACGCTGTGGAGTACTTGGACGCGTGTGATGGAGCATTGTCCTGCATAAAAATCATGTTTTTCTTGAAGGATGCAGACTTCTTCCTGTACCACTGCTTGAAGAAGGTGTCTTCCAGGAACTGGCAGTAGGACTGGGAGTTGAGCTTGACTCCATCCTCAACCCGAAAAGGCCCCACAAGCTCATCTTTGATGATACCAGCCCAAACCAGTACTCCACCTCCACCTTGCTGGCGTCTGAGTCGGACTGGAGCTCTCTGCCCTTTACCAATCCAGCCACGGGCCCATCCATCTGGCCCATCAAGACTCACTCATTTCATCAGTCCATAAAACCTTAGAAAAATCAGTCTTGAGATATTTCTTGGCCCAGTCTTGGCGTTTCAGCTTGTGTGTCTTGTTCAGTGGTGGTCGTCTTTCAGCCTTTCTTACCTTGGCCATGTCTCTGAGTATTGCACACCTTGTGCTTTTGGGCACTCCAGTGATGTTGCAGCTCTGAAATATGGCCAAACTGGTGGCAAGTGGCATCGTGGCAGCTGCACGCTTGACTTTTCTCAGTTCATGGGCAGTTATTTTGCGCCTTGGTTTTTCCACACGCTTCTTGCGACCCTGTTGACTATTTTGAATGAAACGCTTGATTGTTCGATGATCACGCTTCAGAAGCTTTGCAATTTTAAGAGTGCTGCATCCCTCTGCAAGATATCTCACTATTTTTGACTTTTCTGAGCCTGTCAAGTCCTTCTTTTGACCCATTTTGCCAAAGGAAAGGAAGTTGCCTAATAATTATGCACACCTGATATAGGGTGTTGATGTCATTAGACCACACCCCTTCTCATTACAGAGATGCACATCACCTAATATGCTTAATTGGTAGTAGGCTTTCGAGCCTATACAGCTTGGAGTAAGACAACATGCATAAAGAGGATGATGTGGTCAAAATACTCATTTGCCTAATAATTCTGCACTCCCTGTATAGGCTACTTTGTAGTGCCACTCTCAACCAGCACTGGGAGATGAATTAAGACTGAAGTTAGAGAGAAAGGAAACAGTATTACCGATTTGACTATGTATGCCTATAAATTTTGTCACACTGTGACAATGCCATCATCCAAGACTCAATTTTTTTTCCACAGCCTAAAAGTAAGAGTGTTTTGATTTATAGGCTTTTCTAGTTCATATAGAGCAAACAGTATTGTCCTTTAAATATTATTATGTTTTATTTATTTTTGTTGAAACACTCATAAATATAACTTTATTTCCAAGTACTTTCCACAATACAGTGGAACCTCGGAACTCAAACTTAATCCGTTCCAGAAGGCTGTTCGAGTTCCGATTTGTTCAAGAACCCAATCAGCATTTCCCATAAGAATGAATGTAAATTTGATTAATCCGTTCCAGACCCAAAGAATTACAGCATTTTAGATGTATATGTATTCATTAAAAATAATTCTCAAATTATATTACGTGTACTCTTCCTCTTGTTCTCCTCTGTCCTGCAGCACTCCTCTCTGCTCTCCCTTGCTGGGAGGAGTGGGGACCCTCAGAGTCACAGTCCCTTCGGTTTTGGGGTCCACCTCAGACAGGGTCTCTGAGCCTGAAGAAGAAGGTGGTGAGGATGATGAAGCAGAGGAGGTACCTGGGTCGATGTCCTGGGAAAGTTTGTCTTCCAGGTTGTGCTCACTGTCTGCTAGCCGTCAAACACACTCAGGCAATCCCAGTGAGAGCGGAATGTACACTCATGGGCTTCCACCCCATCAGCTCCCACCCGGTGAGATTGGCAGGGATGTGGTGACCGCTGGCTGGAGGGGTCACATGGCCCAGTGAGCGGCTCTTTGATGCTCGGGTACGGAAGATCGTTCACGTACCAAGAAATTTTTTACTCAAAATTTGTGTTCGACTTCTGAATTGTTCGAGAAAGGGACTGTTCAAGTTCCGAGGTTCGACTGTATTTGATTTTGGTGATCTTTGAGTTTAACTTTGTTAAAGGGATATTGTGCAACATTCTAACCCCATGCAGCAGCAGAATTCAATTGTATGGGTTCACAGTCTAATTTTATTTAATTTCATTCACTGGATTATTTACTTAGGCCTCAATTTAATAGGATTGGAAATATTTTCCAATTGATTTAACATTTTTGATAAACTTTTATTTTTTTTACTTCTATAAATTTTTATTTTTCATTTTAAAAAGTTCATCCATATACATTTTCATAAATAAGATTTTGCAATATGGTACAATATTTTCCTTTACAATAAGTTATGTAGTTATACATATTACTAGTGTAGCCATATTTCATATTTCACTTAAACATTGTCTACATAAACTACATTCGAACCAAAGACAATAACACACAGTTCCTCTTTCTTACCATCTTACAATTTCACAGGTACTACCTAAGACTGGCTGATTGTGGGAGGGGTTGAGTTTTTACTACTAAGATATCTAACCCAGGGGGCCCAAATTTCATCATATTTCTCTCTGGATAACTTATTTGAGGCTAACCCAGCTTCCATCCTACGTTGATAATCTATTTGTATACATATATCATGCCAATTTAACGAACCCATATTTCTCCAATTTCTGGCCATAACTATTTTTATTGCCATAAAGGAATGAATCATAAGAATTTTTTGTTTTATATTAACTTTTGACAGGTCTAAATGAAACAGGAACATTTGTGCCGTAATAATAGTTTTAACCTTCAGAATGAAATCCACCAAGTCCGATATAATTATTTTCATAGATTTCAACTCCTCACAGTCCCACCAGATGTGGGAGAATGAACCTAACTCCCTACCACATCTCCAACAATCTGGTAGAAGTGTGGGTTGAAATCTATGAAGACGAGTGGGCACCAAGTACCAACGGTATACTAATTTAAAGTACACTTCCTGTATATTCACCCCATGTATATGTCTTTTTACTAATTGTAGGGCCGAATTCCAACTTTCAACCGAAGATGAGAAATGGAGTTCCTGCTCCCAATTAATCATTGCCAATGCTTTGACTATTTGCCTTTGGCATCTTGTAAATTGATTGAATCTAGATGCAATTTTTTTTTTATAGTGGAATGCTACAAACTGATCAAATGGAGAAGTGGAAAAAGAGAAAGAAAACAGCGCTAAATTGCCACAATAAAATTATAAGAAAGGCAGCAATCCTCAAAGGGGAGTCCCCAATAATCCCCTAATGATAACAGATAGCAAGAACAAACATAGATATAAGGATGCGCCTAAAACTTGATAAAATAAAAGACTAAATTAGTCAGATAAAATACAGAATAAAATAAGTAATAAAACAATAGTCCAATAAAATAGGCTTATCACAGTCCGTGAGGGTAGGTCCCACTTGTAAAGGAATATTCTTTAGGGTGTGGGTGGGATCATATCTTCAAATGTTGAGAATTCAGCATATGTGGAGAGAAAAATAAAAACAGGACTCCAATGGCACAGTAAATCGGTGTATAAAATAAATATAAAGGTATAAAATCAGTCTTACTCACACTTTTCAGAGCTAGGATCAGCTCTGATATTGCTCGCGTAAAGTGGAATAATCCCCACTTCAAGGATATATGGAGTAAATGTTGATTGTTGAATATCTGACGTGGGTTCAGCGTTCAATTTGACGTGATACGACCCAGAGGAAAAAATGAAATAAAATATATAGTGCTCACTGTATGTAATAAAATTAAAAGAAAGTAAAGTATACTACTCACGTAAAGTAGAGCAGACTCAAAACTGCTCAGTGAAGGCGCTCAGGTGGTATAATCCCCACCTATGGATTCTTTGCACTTCCTGCAGGGTGAGCCGTATACGTAAAAGCAATAAAAGAAAATGTATGTAAAATCAGGTAAAGCAAATGGCAATAAAGTATTTTATGCCAATAAAATATCTTTATTATAGAGTTAAGAACAAAATCTATTAATATCTAAACGCGTTTCGCCTTAACAGGCTTCTTCAAGTAGATAGTGGGAAAGAGGGGGGGCATACCTGACATACATAAGCTTATATAGTGTATAATAGTACTTTAAATTTAAAATTCCCGCCAAAATGACGTAATAATTAGCATATAGATAATACAGGGAAGTTATTATAAAACAGTTATTGCACACATAAAAATTGACAATACAGTGATAAAAAGCATATTTGCATTATTTAAATATTAAAACGAAGGTTATAATTTACTTTTTAAGTAAAAAAATAAAGAAAACGGTCATGTGACACGGGATAAGAAGTACTTCCGCGTCACATGATGCTCTGTGGCATATAGTGTAAGGGGTAGCTATCCTGCCTCATTCAAAGGATAAGAGGTAGAGCCGTTTATATGCAAGAGCAGGTAGATGGCTGTGGCTCAGCACATAAGTTCACAGCCAGCCCCACATGAGTTCGAATCCAGTGAAGGACAACATGACTACAAAAGCATAGATATCTACACAGGCAAAATAAAATATATATAATGAATTAATTAAATTATTAGAATAATAAACAGCAAGTTTTTCATATATTTTGTGCAAGAACATAGATAAAATTAACAATGATTGCACATATGTGCTTGTATAAATAAATAAATATATATATATATATTAAAATATATATATGTTTGTAATATAATAGAATATAAAATAAAATTATAATAGGTAGAATAGTATATATACATATATATTTATAAAGGCACTTTTCAATATAAGTTAAAAAGGGGGAAGAGGAGAGTAAAAAAACAATACTTAAAAGGGTATCCTTAAAAAAGCAGCAATATTATAAAAAATTAAAAAGATCAAAATCAATATTAAGGCCAGTGGGAGCGAGAGTTTTCAAGTTATATGCCCATTCCATTTCTTTTTTGCCTAAAACTTTCTTAATGTCTCCACCTCTCCAAGGAACATTGCAGATATCTATGCCGATGCATTTAAGAAATTTGGGATTTTTTCCGTGTTGTAAAAAATGTTTTGAAACGGAATGATTTTCATAACCTTTTAAGATATTTCTGCAATGTTCAGCCAGTCTGGTTTTTAAATCTCTAGTAGTCATGCCGACATATTGGAGCCCACAAGGACATTCTAAAAGATAGATGACATTTTTTGTATTGCAATGAATAAAATTTTTTTATTTGATATGCTTTCTGTGTCCTTGTGGATAAAAACGATGTTGTTTTAGATTTTATAGTGTCACTAGTGCGTTTGCATACTATACATCTATTGCATTTGAAGAAACCACAGGGTTTATTTAAAAAGGTAAAAGGGTTGGGGGTTGGGGGAATATATTTTTGTTTAGTATAATTACTTGTAAGGATAGACTTAAAGCTGGGTGCCCCTCTAAATATAACTTGTGGTTTCTCAGGGACAATTCCGCCCAAAGTCTCATCCTGTTTTAATATATGCCAATGTTTTTTTATAATCTTCTTCATAACATTACTTTTGTTATTGAAGTCGAATATAATTGGCAATACGGGGGCAGTTTTGGTTTCTTTATGGTTTTTGTACTCTAGTAATTCGGATCTGTTGGTTTGACTGATATTTTTTAACGTCTGGTCTAAATTGTTTTTCGGGTAATTTTTTTGAAGAAATTTATCAGATAGTAATTGAGATTGTTCCTCAAAATCTTGGGTGAGGGAACAGTTTCTACGTAGACGCAGAAATTGGCTTTTGGGTATTCCTTATTTTAGATACATTGATGATTTATTTTTTATTTGGGACGGCCCAGAAGACCTTTTAAAACAGTTTTTACATTACTTAAATTTTAATGATAAAGGTATCATTTTAACTTGGGATTACAGCCAATCTTCCATTCATTTTTTAGACTTGGAAATTTTTATTAATAACGGTCAAATTCATACAAAAACTTTTTTCAAAAAAGTATGTACCAATAATGTTATTGATGTAACCAGTTGCCACCATAAACCTTGGCTCCAAGGAATACCCAAAAGCCAATTTCTGCGTCTACGTAGAAACTGTTCCCTCACCCAAGATTTTGAGGAACAATCTCAATTACTATCTGATAAATTTCTTCAAAAAAATTTAGACCAGACGTTAAAAAATATCAGTCAAACCAACAGATCCGAATTACTAGAGTACAAAAACCATAAAGAAACCAAAACTGCCCCCGTATTGCCAATTATATTCGACTTCAATAACAAAAGTAATGTTATGAAGAAGATTATAAAAAAAACATTGGCATATATTAAAACAGGATGAGACTTTGGCCGGAATTGTCCCTGAGAAACCACAAGTTATATTTAGAGGGGCACCCAGCTTTAAGTCTATCCTTACAAGTAATTATACTAAACAAAAATATATTCCCCCAACCCCCAACCCTTTTACCTTTTTAAATAAACCCTGTGGTTTCTTCAAATGCAATAGATGTATAGTATGCAAACGCACTAGTGACACTATAAAATCTAAAACAACATCGTTTTTATCCACAAGGACACAGAAAGCATATCAAATAAAAAAATTTATTCATTGCAATACAAAAAATGTCATCTATCTTTTAGAATGTCCTTGTGGGCTCCAATATGTCGGGATGACTACTAGAGATTTAAAAACCAGACTGGCTGAACATTGCAGAAATATCTTAAAAGGTTATGAAAATCATTCCGTTTCAAAACATTTCCCCCTTTTTAACTTATATTGAAAAGTGCCTTTATAAATATATATGTATATATACTATTCTACCTATTATAATTTTATTTTATATTCTATTATATTACAAACATATATATATTTGTATATATATATATATATATTTATTTATTTATACAAGCACATATGT